GGAGCCGCCGGCGAAGCGATGCAGGAAGGTGAGCGGCCGCCTGGGAGTCAGCGGGCAGCTCGGCCTGGGCCATCTCCCTTGCCCTGCAGCGCAAAAAGTGCCGCCGCCCGTGCGTTTGGGCCCCAAGAGACCACCCCAAAAAGCCCCGTGGCATCCCCTGGGCACTGGAGGCCGAGCATCCCTGTTTTTCTAAATCTCCCTTCCTCCCGGGGCAGGTGCCGGGGGGGCCCCTCTTGCAGCCCAGCGTGCCTGGCCACCGGGTGGGAGCGAACCCCTGGGTTGCATCTGCCAAGTTGTTTCCACCTCAGCGTCCTGTTTCTCCACAGCCATTGCGATCACTGAGCAGCCGGTCTCTGTCTCCATCCCCGTGGGATACTCCTTCACCCTGCGGTGCAGAGCCGAGGGACGCACGTCGCTGCAGTACCAGTGGTTTTGTCAGCACCAGGTAATGGTGGGAGCAGAGGTGGCCCTGGGTATGGCACCAGGCTGGGTCCTTGCCCGCACTGATGGAGCTGGTCCTCTGCGGGCAGACCTGGTGGGAACCAGGAGGCTAGAAGGAGAGGGGGATAGGATGTGTGTGCACGCCGAGGACTTCTGCAGATGCTGGGAGGGGGCATGCAGTGGAAAAGCTCCTTCTCCTGCATCCCTGCGGCTGGAGAAGGGGAGGAAACGAAGGATTTCCACTTTTCCTGCTCTTACAAGGGGCCTGCTGGTGCCTTTTACTACCAGCTATGAGGGGGGGACTCGCTGCCCACCGCCTGTGTTTTCCCTTTAGTCTGTCTGCCACCTGATTCCTGGTGCCACCAAGCAAGATTTGCCCATCACTGCACAGCAGACCCAACTCTACACCTGCAGAATCAATGACCTCTACAAAAATGCCATCTTCTCCGACTGGGTGAAGGTGGAGGTCCATCAGTGTGTTGCCAGAGGTATGAGCGTGTCTTCTAACTTTTCTCTATTTTGCCCACCCTTGCAACAGTGATCCTGTGCAGTTCCCGGGGCAGTGTGTCCTCCCAGCTCGAAAATCACAATACAGAAGGATTGCTCCAGTGATGTAAGCCTGCAGATCTAAGCCAGACCTCTGTGTCCATCCTCTGGATGGTTCAGGTCTCTGTCATGGTCCCAATAACCCCAGCTGTATGTACCTGCTCCTCCAGCTGATCACTCGCTGTGGGTTTCCCAGAGTTATACCGGGTGTTTGCTCGTTTGCGTTGGGCAGCTGGAAGAGGCAATCTGGCTATTTCAAAACTGAGAAAAAGTAACTCTGGGTGTGGCTGACCTCAGGAGGTTGACTGCACCCTTGGCAGGAAAGGGCGAGCATCGGTTTTGGGAAGCCAGAGGCAGGGCTTTGGCATGTCATTTACTATTGCGGGTGTCGCTCCCAAGGATTCCCTGCTTCCAGAGCAGAAAGGCACAGCAGTGATGTCCTGTGGGATGGCATCTCTTGCTGCGGGTGGAAAAAGCTTGCTTTTCTGGCAGTACACATACAGGGGGGAATATCACCATTTTTTGCTGTCCTTGTGGAGGGAGGACCAATTCTGTGTCGCTGCTTTACAGGACTGCCCCCTCAGCTCTGGCGAGGAGAACCGGTCATCGTCCTCAACCCCACCGAGCAGAGGGTGGAGGTGGGGAAGCCGCTGCAGCTGCAGTGTGCTGCCATGGGGATCCCAGCCCCCAGCTACCAGTGGTACCAGAATGGGAACCTGCTGGAACACCAGAAGAAAAAAAAACTCTGGGTAACATTGCCTTGGGATAGTTCATAAACTTTGGCTGTTGAGGTGGGTGATGGGAGAAGCTTGTTGCTGGATGGTGGGCGTGGGAGAGCCTCAGAAGCCTTGGAGAGACTGCTGAAAATTGTATTATTGTCATCCTGGACGTGACAGGTGGCAGTCCTTAAGCCTGGCTCGTATCTGCATGTCAAGGCTCGGGCGTGCTTTGATCTATGTGATCAGGTGAATGCCAACAGAAAGCAGTCTCTCCTTGCCTGTCCTCCCCAGCTCTCCAGCCCTTGAGAAGCAGCCTCATGCTCAGCTGTCTTTCCCTGCCACGTTGCAGGGTTGTGAGAAAGCACTCCACGTATCACTCCTGTTGCTTTGATAGCTGACTGAAGGACTCCGGGTGAAGAGGGAATACATTTTATGGGCTTCTTTCAAAGCTGTGGATGTTTCTCTAAGAAGTAACCGATTCATAGATGCGTTAAGGGCTCTCAGCACGTCTCTCGTGCCTCTTTGCAGCAGTGGCACAAGAACAGCTATTATATGTCTGCGCAGGGGACCACGGAGTGATGGAGCTGCGGGAGTGCTGTCTGCCTGCAGGAGAGCTAGAAGGAAAAGTGGTTAGTCCCAACAGAAAAGAGTCAGGAAGACAGCAAAAGGTCTGGGTTTATTTTGGGTCACTGGCTGAATGTAAATCAGTGCTGTCTTCTTGATGCAAGAAAGGCAGATTGCCTTCTGGGGCATCATGTGAAGGGCAACGAAGGCAAGAGATCCCATCTCTTCTCAGGAGTGGTAGATGATATGACAGGGGACAGTGGCCTCAGACTGCGCTTTTCACGGGGAAGTTCAGGCTGGGGATTAGGAAGAGGTTCTTCATTTGGAGGTGGGTTGTGCTGCACTGGAGCCAGAAAGGCAGCGAGATCTCTGTCCTTGAAGGTTTTCAGTACTCGACTAGACAAAGCCATGGCCAACCTGACCCAGTGGTGGCTTTAGTTCCTCTCTGAGCAGGAGCCTGGGCCGGAGAGCCACAGAGGTCTTCGCCAGCTAGTACTGCTCTGATTCTTGTCCCACGTCAAGAGAGATGGATAAGAGTTGAAAACTTGCCGGAAGAGAATCTAGAAAATGTCACCTAAGAGGAAAAACAGGCAACCTTCTGATGTTGGCCACGCACCGTCTTCCCAGTGTGGCTCCTGGGGCAGAGTATGGCTATGACAGAGGGTTTGGGGGCTGCCGGAAAAAGAAGGGCAGGCATTTGGGCAGAGGATTCTTGCGCTCTAGAAGCTGGGGTCAGCAGCAAACCTTAGCGCATGGCCTTACTGAGCTTCTTAGAAAGAGAAGTCATGGGAAATCTCTTAGCTTTGTGAGGCAAGGAATGAGGTCTCGGCGAACAGCAAGAAAAAAGACTTTTTATTCCAGGAACGTGGGTGCCTTTGGCAGATACCGGCAGGGGGCCACAAACTTTCACCATAAATAACGTTATTTAACTTTTGATCTGTCTAGATCACCCACGCAAAGGTCAGTGACTCCGGCACGTACCTCTGCTGTGCCTCCAATAGCCACGGAGAGCACTGGACCAACGCCGTGGATATTCACATAGGTGAGCAGAGCCAACCCACATCTGCTTTGCTGCAAATCACCTTCTAGCGTGAAAAGTAATTAGACGGCAGGCACAGGAATTTAGTGCTCTCACCTGGAAGCACCGGGCTGGTGAACAAGGAGCCCAGTGCTGGCATGTTACCCTCTGGCTCAATTGGTGGAGGGGAAGCTGGGCCCTGGGGCGTGGGATTAGGAGAAGTAGGATGCGTGGCTCTGACATGTGCACCTTCCCCCGGCTTGGATGGATCTTGCACGCTTTTATTAACAAAAAGAAAGGCCACGGGTTTTAAATACCGCTTCTGCAGGGAGCCGAAAGTAAGACACTTCAGAGCAGAAAAGCAGCATGGGGCTCTGCAGGGAAGCTGGAGTGTTCTGGCAGTCCTGCGGTGGCTGTCACGGGAACAGCCTGCAGAGCGCAATTTCACACCCTGGATATACTGGACGCAATGATCTCAGCAGAGCTGCACAAGCCCTGCCAAGCGGCGGGCGTAGGCATCTGTCAGCCCCGTGATAAATAGGATTCCTTGATAACAGGGTTCAGAGGTGGCAAGGGAGGCGGTGTCTGTAAAAGAAAAAATCCCAAAAACCCAGTGGTCCGCTGTACTGCAATGTGGGATGCTGCTGGGTCCTGCAGTCTGTCGGAAACCTGTCGTGTTAGAGCAGGTTGAGCGCTCTCGGATGCTCACTGCAGTTTTCTTGCCTTGCCAAGGTGCTGGTTTAATAGCTCCCCAGCCAAATTGCAGCGGGGTCTTTTGCTAAAACTCATTTACAGCCTTGCTGAGGTGAAGTGATGTGCTCAGATGCACAGAGCTGGAAAGGATGGTGTATTTCGGGAAGGTTCAGGCCCCACGGGCTGGCAGCCCAGGCCTGATGCTGCATGAGCTGATAGATCCCAGGGAGAAGATGGGTCCCCAGAGCCTCGGGCATGCTCCACCTTCAGTGTGACTGCCGCTTTGACCCTCTGCCTTTGCCCTGCTGTGAGACAGGAATAGCACAGGCTAGCTTTGCTGGCTCTTTACTCCACCTAGAGATTTTTCTATGCCGTAAGCTTCTCATCTCGCCTTTTAGGCTGGCTTTAAAATTGCTCCAGAGTGCAAATTGGTCCTGTGTAGCCAGAGAGCACTCTCCCTGCCTCCTCGCAGCTGGCAAAAGAGCATCTGGAGGGGACAGGCAGCGAGAAAGGGGCACAGGATTAGGTTAGATTCAAAGTATTATTGCTGGGTAGTTTTAACGTGCAACAGTCAGCTCTGTCAGAGGCAGAAAAGGATGAATGGGCTTGTTCTGATGGTTTTCCAGGCATCCCTGGAGCATTAGCTACACTGGTTCAGGTACTAAAGGTCTTGCAGACCTGTGAGATTTATGCAATTTAAAATATGCCCTTAATTTCTTCTTTTAGAGCCTGTAGGTCTTTAGGGTTTTCTCCTGGGCTGGATTTTTTTAGTTATTTTTAATTTAAATAGGAAAAGCTGGAGTGTTAGGGTAGTGATGATTTTAAGAGGCTGGGAGCACTCGGGCAGGGGAGCTTGTGGAACTCGTAAAAGTGAGTCACATTTGGGGTGGCTTTTCTGAGCCGGAACTGCTAAAAGGCAGGGAAAGGCAAAGCAGGGTGGAGAAAGGCTCTGGGAATATTATTGCAATCAAAACCAAACAGTCGGCTTCCTCTGCGCTGACTGCTCATGGGGAGAAGTTCTCTGTTTTGAAGCTTATGTTGATCTTGAGTTGTTGTGTTTCCCTTGCTTTCGCTGCAGCAAGGAAGCAGGCAAGTCACCTCGGGAAGCACAGCAGCCCAGGCAGGGCTGGTACAAGCAGCGCAGACCTGCTGATGGGTACGAGCTCCTCCATGCTGGCCCTCCTTCCCCTGGCCTGCCCCTTCTCCAAGCTTTGCTTCCCAGCTGCTCAGGATTTCATAAATCAGGCAGGATTTCATAAATACTCCCAAAATCACCAGACCAGTGTCTTCAAGGTTAGCAATCAGGCTATGAAGAACTTGCCTGAGGAGTGTTGCTTGTGCGGATGCTCGACGGTGTTTGATTCAGCTTTGCATTGCTGGGGGATGTTGGAGCAGGTTTCAGACCCGAGATGGGAGCTGGCACTGGGGCGCTGGGTGCTGGGCACAGGCTTATCATTTCCCTCTTTCTTTTCCAGGTATGTGTCGCTCTGAAAAGTTTTTTGGTGAGTACTGTCATCTTTTCTTCCTGAGCAATTATTCCCTTAATTAAAAGCCAGGCTCCAGGGTGGATGGGAGGACAGGGCATAGGAGTGCTTTCCCTTCAGAGACCGCTTCAAGCCTTTATGCCCACATTGTCATGGGCTCTGTGCTTTTGGGATCAGAGCTGCAAGGCACAGGATGAGTCCCATCCCCTGCCAAGCCCTGATCAGTCTTAGCAAGTGGAGTAAGATTATTCCTAATGAGTAACCCAGTCTTGACCTCCATGCCTGCCAAATGAGTTTAAAAGTGTTGTTCATGTGACACCTTTTCCCTTCCTTGAAATACCACCTTGGAGCAGGGCAAAGCTCCTTGCTCCCACCACTGCTGAGTGCCATAAATCTGGTTTTCCTACAGTGGAAGGTGGGGATAAAATGAAAGCAGGAGCCCAGGGTTTCTCTCCTTCAGCCCCATGGGGGAAAGGACCTCTTAGCCTGGCTCAGTGCATCCCCCTCCCAGGCACCACTGGCACGTAAGACCTGCGGTCACGGTAGGGCAGGTGCCAAATAACCTCGGTAGCGCAGATCCTCCTGCACTCCTGGGGTTTTGGTTGTCAAGTGAAAACTTTTGAAGTCTTTCTTTCAAAATGATGGTTTGTGTATTTTGTCAAAGTGTTCAGAAAGCCGAGGGCTTTCTGGAGGGCGCTCCAGGCTTGTAGCAGCATAGGGTCCATCCTTCCTGCCTAGATGTAAGAAAAGATTTCCCATATCCTCACTCAACCGAAGGAGGTGAGACCTTGCCTCCTGCTGAGCATTTACAGCTTTGTCGCTTGGTGTTTCCGTTAGCTACAGGCAAGATAGCGCTTTTAGTGGGCAACAACCGCTACCAGCATCATCCCAACCTGATGGCTCCCGTCACGGATGTGTTTGAGCTGAGTCTTCTTCTGGAGCAGCTGGGCTTCCAGGTTGTCTCTCTTCTGGACCTGAACAAGGCTGAGATGGTGACAGCGGTCAGTCGGTTCCTGCAGCTCCTGGGGAAGGGAGTCTATGGTAAGGCAAAGCCAGTAAGGTAAGGTAGCCGATGTGCAGGTAGCAGTGGCCGATGCAAGGAGGAGCAGGGATTTGGCAATTTTCCGAACAGCTGTTGAATTAGAAGAGAAGAAAGTGAACTTTCCTTTAGGGGGGGCAGAGGAACCCTGTGGCACAGTCTGCAGCAGTGCCAGGCTTGGCGGAAGCCCCCAGGTAAACGCCGTTCAGTTTTGGCCAGGTTACAGCCAGGCAAAGTAGGTGTTTCTCCATCACGTGACTCACCTCCAACTCCAACAGCATGGTCTCATGCTGAGGTTTTGGGGACCCAGCGCTTCTGATGGCAAATGGGAGAAGGTCTTTTGATTTTTCCTTATATGAAAAATTAAGGAGATTGACTATCAGTTGTCCCTACTGCACTCCTTTGCGAGGAGAGGAGCTCCTTTTGAGCCGTGACTGCTACAGCCGGCCACGATTTCCTTGTTTCTCTTTCCTGATGGTCTCATTTGAGCCTCTGACAGCCTTTTCGCAGAAGCGCATTCCCAGCTGCAGATGGCTTTGAGGTTGGGCTTGGAGCTTATTGCACACTGTCCTCAGCAGGAAGCGTTCCTCAAACGCAAAACCAACCAGCAGATCTTGTGGGTCTTAAAGCAGGTGTTCAGATTTGGTGGTGAAAGTAGCTGCTTTGGGGTTTCTGAGGTTCTCTCAGCCTGATGGATACCCTGAGAACACCTGGCAGATGTTTTTTTTGCTTGCAATCCTTAGCATGAGGCTTATCTTTACCGCTCTCCCAGCTGCGTGGCATACCAGGGCACTCAGACAGCAAAAGTCAACACAGGCCAATTCCAGCCCGGCGCTCAGCGTGAGGTTTGGAGGTTGTGTAATGGACAGGGACATGGCCACAAGCAAAACGCTGCACAGCCACCTTGTTCCGGGAAGCACTGACTCACTCGGGGAGGCTGAGCTGGCAGGGAAGGGCAGTACACGGTTGCCGCCACTCCGGCCAAGCACGTCATCTGATGACAGCATATTCCTATGAATTCACTTGCAGCTTCCTTTTGTGGTTGCTCTCTGAAATCCCCTTGCATCTCAGGCTTTACCTCCTCTCCCAGGCCAGAGTCATCCCTGGGGGGCTGCTATGCTTTTCCCACAGCGCTGCCATTCCTACCCTCTATCTGTAGCATGTGAGGACCAAATAGCATTTTGTCCACAGCACTTCCCTTGTTTTCATAAGCATTGGAGAGAAAAAAGATTTGGAAATGACAAACCTTTCACGCTGTCATGCCTTATTTAAACTTCTAGTGCTTTTCTGCATTCGTGGCCACTGATCCTTCCTGGCAAAATTGATTTTGTGCACTGGCAGGGAAAACATTAACAGCTGAGTTACTGAACCTTGATAAGCCTCAAGTGTTTGCTAGGCATAGCCTGCTCCGGATGGTGGTTTTCTTTACAGCTTTCTAAGCTGAGTGGTCTGCTATTATTTGGAGGCAGTGAACCGCAGCGCAGGCTGGTCCTAGCAGCATGATTGAGTGGAGGACTCTTGCCGTAATTGGTGGCATCCAGACTTAATGGTGGGGCATTGGGTCAGCCTGCCTGCTGATTGCCCCAGGGTTTCTCCATCTGAAGTGTGCTGCCTCTCGCTGTGATGCACCTTCCAGCATTTCTTCAGCTGTTTTCCTTACATAAAATTAAAAGAACCAGGTGAAGTGCAAATTATTGACATTAACTTGTCTTGTTAATAAAAATGCACTTTTAGAAGAAGCTAACTCCACCTAAACCCTATGTATCAATTTTTCAAGGCACTAGCTCCAGGATAAACATCTAGAACTGACTGAGAGGTTCAGGATTCACATAACTCATACGCATGGGAAGACAGTGGTGAGGCAGCAGCTCCAGGAACGATCTAGGCAGCCTATTAAAACTACAGAAACCCCAGGGGTGCCTGTGATAGCCGGTCCTGTACATCCACGTGGGTGTCTCAGACATGCACCTGCACAAAGGCATCCCGGTGCTTCCACCTCATTTTTCTTGCTCAAGGAACCTGGAGGTGCCATCTCCCGTGTAGCAACCACCACAGCTGAAATCAGGAGAGCTTTGCATAGATGTACGAAGCGAAGCAGGGAGCTGGGAGGAGAGGGCTGACTGGTGAAAGACTGTCACTGGACTGAAGTGGGAGACCAGTGTAACACAGACACACCTGTCCTCACGCCCAAGAAGTGAGGCTGGCTGTCTTCTGAAGTTTAACTCCAGCGGCAGAGATGCTGGGGCATTCATGCATCTTTCTGCTGGTGCAGATGTGGGTTAGCGTTTGAGCACAGCGCTTGTTGTTGCTTCTCGAGTTTTATTTAGCTTCAGGGTGCTGATAAGAGCTGAAGAAGACGTGTCTGACCTCCCTAGACTTCTTTCTTATTGTGAGGCTCCCTTGCGTGACCTTACTGGCCTGTCTGTGATTTACACTCCTACAGGGGTTGGTGGGAGGGGACTTTGGAGTCATCAACACAAGGTCAGGGTTGGTTGTGGCTCTCCTTATCAGGTCTTGAAGACTTCCAGGCATGGAGTCCCCCACTTCTCCACCTGCCCATCTCAGGGCTGCACCACCCTCCAGGGAAATTTTTCCTCCTGTCAACCCTCCGTGGGTTGGTGCTTGTTGTCCCATGTTGTATGGTCCACACCAACAAGGAGAGTTGGGCTTTGTTGTCTCTGTAACTGCCCCTCCAGGAACTGTAGGCTGTTGTTAGACCTTCCTTCACCTCCACGTCTCCAGACCATCCCAGCCCAGTTCCTTCCCCCTCTCCTCCCAGGCCCTGGGCCCAAACATCTTGGTAGCCTCTGCTTTTTCCAGCTTCTCCACCTTCCTCTTGAGCTGAGGTCCCTAAAACTGGTCACAGGATCTAAGTGAGGTCTACTCAGGGCCAAGGAGAGTGGTGACAGGTTCCCTGGCGATCCTGCATCTTCTAGCTTAGCTCTCTCCCCAGTCAGTGCTGGCTCATCTTCAGCATGGTGTCCACTGTGACCCTAGGCTTGCTGCTCAACCAGTGCTCAGCCCCAAACAAGATGCTGCCTGGGGTTATCTGCCCCCGTGCAGGACTTTGTCCTTCTTATTCTTGAACCTTCTCTGAGATTTCTCAAGCCCAGAGCAAAAACTGGCTTCATTTTCAGGCACGGGGATATTGTATGGCTGCACATTCGAGGTGATCCAAAGGCTTCTCTAATTCACCGTATGGAGGTGGTGGCTCATCTGGCTGCTTTTCCTCCAGATCTCCTCTTAGAAAAGCTGCAGAGCATTTTTGAAAGCCCCAAACATGCCGTGAATGGTCTAATTATGCAACCCTCAGGCGAACAAAGAATCCCCCCGGATGTTACTTCGAGCGTCCTAAAAAGTCCCAAGTCAAAAAAATGTCAGAAATGCAATGAGAGCAGAAAGTTGCGAGTGAAATACTAGGAGTATGCCGTCATGCCTTAATTAAGCTGCATGCTGACATTTCCTGTATTATAAGCAGTGCCCGGAGCTTCCCCTTTTTAATTTGGTACTCAGAAGCTTGTTTTGACTCACGAGATCTGGGAAGAGCTTTGAAATGTTAGCTCGCAATAAAAAAACCCTTTCCTTCTCTAGGCAAATTGTTGACTTTACTGTTCAGGAGGAGAGATTAAGTCCAGGAGAGGTTTGCAAAGTTGATGTGAAACTCACGTCTTTTTTGATTTGAACGCGAGTCTTTGTGGTTTATATAGCGGCAAGGAGCACTTGGCAGTGCATTCAGGGTGCACAAGACGACCTCAAAAGTTAGGAGATTTAATGATTGAATGATTCTTTGTGGGCTTCTCTGTAACATTTCAGTTTTTTCCAAGTGTCAGTGAGGCTGCCTGGTAACGGATGTCATCACCTCCCTTTCACGTACAGGAGGAAAAGCAGAGGAATGAAAGCCATTAGTGCTCGATGACTTGAGGGGCCAAACCTGAAGTGCCTGCATCTGATTTTTCCAGAAGGCTTCCTATTTTATACTCTTTTATAATCTCAGGGGAGGTTCTCGTGGCTTTGATTTGCAAGTTATGAAAGTTTAAAACTTCTGCAAATCAGAGCCCACTCTCTCTGGCTGGCGATCCACAAGAAGAGGAACCCAAACCTTGTGGGCACCTGTGAAAACAGCCATTTGAGTAACTTTCCATTGTCCCCTGAGAATAGAAACCAAAGGTGACTTGAGGCCTTTTTTACTATGAGATCATGCTTTCCATCCTCCATACGATGAGATCATGCTTTCAGTCCTTCAGCTCCTGCCCCATTCACCGCATCCCTTGCAGCATCAGAGATCAAAGCGAGTGTCCTGTGAACTACAGGGGCAGGAACAATGGAGGGAAAACAGAGGAGAGGTTACTCAATGAAGCGTGGGCTTTGGCAGCAAATCTGACTAAAGAATTTCTCTGCTTTTGCCTCTTAGCCACTTGTTCCCGTTTCTGACCTCTCGTTCTTCACTGTCCTTCAGTTGCGGTAGTGCAACTGTTTGCGTCACCTCGCAGAGCTATTTTTAACCCATTTCAGTTCTCCGAGCTGGCTTCCGCCAGCATCCCCCAAGCAGTTGCATCAGTGCTGGGAAGGGGTAGCCAGCCACTGTGCAGCTTCCTTTCAGGAAGCTACAGCCCAGATGGGGATCCCTGTGCAGAAGGAAAGCCCTTCACCAAACACAGGGGTTGGAGAGAAGCACCAGCGTGGGCCATGCCGAGCTCCTCAGTGCTGGCTTTCCAAGCTGGATGTCCCCATGTTGCCATCTCTTGTGAAGGCAGAAACCATTACTAAGTTTCATGTGCTTAAGAGTAAAACTCGAACCCAAAATTCTTGTTGGGTATTGGACTTCCCACCAACACCTGGATGAGTCTGACTCCGCTTCTGCCTTATAGGGCTGGTATCTGGTCTGAGGTTGTTGAAGCAAGTGGTCCACATGTTCTGGACATCTGGAGAACTCATCTCTCTCTGTCTCTATGTCATTTTTCACCAGCTTATGGGTGTGTAAATACAGGCAGACCTTTGAAAGCTGGAGAGTGTTTCCCATCACCTAATCCATTGCTAGTCTCTCCTCCAAAATGAGGAAGCTGAGGAGCTTCTCATTTAAAAGGCTGTTAATGTATTTTTCATCATGGTAAAATACTTCGTCTGTTGTCATATTCTTGCAAAGAGCTTGATGATTAACCGAAACTTGTAACTTAGGTGGTATTCAGTCTGGCAGACGCCAAGCTTGGGTGTTGTAGCACAGATGGTTACGGAAACATGTAAACCCAGTGACTTTGGGGTCTCCTGATGAACAGTGCTGGAAACCACAAGTACAGGAGAGCCTTTCAGGGCTGCTTTCAACTCTGCTGAAGGGAATGGACTGGAAAAAAGTCGAAATGGTGAGGTCAATGTAGCTCCAGTTTCATAGGTGCTACTGGTCTAGGTCTGCCCTGCAGCAGTATCCCTTCAGGACATGAGGTGGGACGTGGCCATGGGGAGCTGGTTATAGACCTGCAGGTTCGCATCGTGACTCATCCTCTCCTCTTCCTGTTCCCAGCTATATTCTACTACGCTGGTCATGGGTACGAACATTCGGGGAGGAACTACATGGTCCCTGTTGATGCTCCACAACCCTATGCCCCCGAGAACTGCATCAGCGTGCAGAGGATCCTTCAGAAGATGCAGCAGCAGCAGACGGCCCTGAATCTCATCCTGCTGGACACCTGCAGGAAATGGTAGGGTGCTCTTCCCCCTTCCTCGCTCGGGATGGGCAGAGCGTGGCATTTTGAGGGGTTGGGGGGAAACAGCTGCCAGCCTCAGCCCCTGCTTCAGCAGTGGGCTTCTACACAACCACGTGAGGTGTTCCTGTGGATTGACAGGGCCACTTCCCTCGTTGTGCTGCTGAGCCCAGGCCTCTGTCAAAGTTTATTGGGCTGTGGCATAAAATCAGCAAGAGCGCCAGGTCTTGCAGGATCTCCTGGGAAGCCCAGTCCGTCACGTATTAGGTGCAGAGAGCATCAGATGCTGCCTGAGATCTGTTGGAGAGAAGGGGCTGGAGACCCTCCCTTGATTTTTCGGGGTGAAGAAGCCTGGCAAATACAGGCAAGTCACCTAAAGCCTGCAGAGGGCTGGCTCTGCCCTGGCATAAATTGTTGGCTGAAACTCAGCATAGGGTTTGTCTTTCTGTGTTTCAACCCCCTGCCCCAAACCACCCGGCCCTGGCAGGCTGTAGCAGCATCTCGCTGACCTCGGGCTTTCACAGCACGTGTTTCCCCATGCACTCAGGCTGGGACTGTTTAGCTCATCTCTCTTCTCCCGGCTGCGTTTTTGTTAACATCTCAGTGAGAAGAGTGCAACATGATGGGGAAAATATTTTAAGCTGTGCTACTTGGTTTTTACTGGCCTTAAATGCTTCTGAAGTGGTCATGTCGTGAAGTGGGACCCAGGCTTCTGCTGAGGTCAGGGATCAGCTTTTTCCCTCTGTCTGTGAAAAGCCCATCATCCTCCCTTGGCCTGCAGATCTCCATCCTGCAGCTTGTGGGCTGCAGAAAATTACTACTTGCCCATTTTCAGCAGAGGTGGGTAGACTATTCCAGTAGAAGTTGTCATTAGTTCATTTAGTTTGGTCTCCTGAGGCAGATTTACAGGTCAGAAAAGACCTGGAGGGCAAATGCAGAAAAGTCTCCCTCTTCCTTCTGTGGTTCCTGCACTAAGAACTAGAAAGATCACAGGGGTTTTGATACTGCTGCCCTGAAGGAGCTGCCAGCCCCTGGAAAGATGTTGAATCTTTGATGCCTTTTAGCTGCAGAGGTAGGAATGCTCGCTTTGAATAGCTTACGAGCTGGCTGTGCTGGGACTTATCCTGCTGCCGCAGCTCTGAGTTGCCAGCATCACTGGAGCTTGCTTGCCCTGAACACCCTGTAGTGAAGCATCCCCTTCTTCCCTCTCGCTCACTGCTGCCGCTGAGTGAGAGCAGAGCGAGTTGCTTCCCTGCACTGCTGAGTACCCCCCCAGCACCCGCGGCAGCACCTTGCTGCTCTCCCCAGCGTGATACCAGGCAGGGGACGTCTTGCAGCCGAGCAGGAGCATGTGGTTTTTGTGGATGCACGGGTGGAGATGGGCTAGCATGCCTCTGGGCTGCTGGTAGCCCATCCGAGGGCAGTGTGGCAACGTGGAGGAGGCTGCATGGGGATTGCTAACACGAATGGCGATGATCTATGAAATAGCTTTTGAGCTGATGTCTCCCTTCTTGGCGTCGCCAGCGGTTTCCGTGCTTAGTGGAGTCTTAACGGCGCTTTGGAAAAAGGATGCGATGTGAGATCTGCTGTGACATTTAGGCATGGTTGTGCAGCTCTTTTTCTCTCTCCCGCCCCAAGATCTCACAATTCTTTCCTCCTCTTTCCCACAGCAAGCACAGCACTTAGTGCAGTAGGTGTTGTCCCCGGGCTTGCGGGGGATTACTGTAGAAGATCTCTCCTGAGCTCATTTTTCTTGAGAAGTCACCATTTCAGCTCAGCAAAGAGTTTGGATTTCGTAGTTGCGTGTGTTTGCACCGCTCCTTAAAACAGGGCTCCTGGGGCCTCCTTTCCCAACGCCCTTTTGGTTGGACTGGTGCTGCGAGTCTGTCGACGGTTCACTCAGCCGTGCATGAACCGGGAGGAGCTGTGTCTGTGCTAAGAGGGATCTCACCCAGAGTATCTCTTCACCCCGTATGTCAGCATCAGAAATGCCAAGGTGGTGAGAAACACATCCTCCTTTGCCAAGTGGTAGCAGATGTTCAGCTTTAGCAGAGGAGGAACCAGGAACACAGAGCCTGTGTGTAGCCTCGTACATTTATGTGCTGATTTTGGGTGGATGCGATTGCCTCTTCCAGGAATTCCCTGATTTATGAGGGTTTCTAGCATGTGCTGCTTAGGACAGAAGGACACCATCTCCTATCTGGGATGCAGATCAGAACTGGGTTGCATGAGATGTGCTGTATAAATGAAACTTTTTCGGGGCCTGAAGCAGGAGGGAGCGCTGCCACCTTCTCTGCTGTCAGGTCTCTCCCTGTGTTTGGTCACCATCTGGAAATGCCCCTGGAAATTCAAGCCCCTGCTGAAGCTTGTCTTCTGCTGGGGCAGGGGACCACGGCCAGCATTTCTGCTGTGTGCAACTCCAGCCTCGCTGGAGCTGTGGATGCCTGCTGGTACCATCAGGAAAGGTTTGCACAGCCTCGGGTGGATGTCCCCAGCATGGGGACAACAGGACCTCAGTTTATTTTGGGATCCCATGTCTCGTTTCTCCTCGGACCTGGAATCCCAGATGTCTGCATTCATTTAGGAGTAGCTGAGGGGCAGATAAATCTCTCTGTTCAATGTTCATATTTAGAAGTGTATCTCCTTTTCCACATTTTCTCTTCTGATCATCTTTAGAAAACTTACACAAGCCAGATGAATACTGCCATTAAACATCTCCAGACTGCACCACCAGCAGCAGGTAACGTGCTGGCTGCTGGCGATACAACCGTCCCTTCTGCTCTCCTTAGCGTGCCAGCTTCAGCCCCAGGAAACTGTGCTGGAATTTAATAACACCGAATAACGAATAATTCCCTGTGCGATTGGGAACAGCTCCAAGTCACTGGTGTAAACTGGAGGCAGCTGGTCCCCATGCTGTTCAGTCTGGCTGCAGTCAGATGGGCAAGTCTTGGCCATTAAGTGCAACCATGATATCTTTTTTGGTGGAAACCAGGACTGTCACCCCAGATCTACCTGATCTTGAAAATAACAGGGTCTGTGCTCATTGAGCTACATCTAGACCAGAGTGCCGGGACCACTTTTGGGCTTTGAGACCTGGGTTCGTGTCCTGATCCCATCTCTCAGTGAGATCTGGAGGCGTATCAGCCATAGCGTGCTTTGGTGTCCTGGGGCAGAAGGTGAGTGCATGGGCTGGAAGGGAGCTGTGGGGCACCCCAGACCCCTGGGACAGGCGGCTGAGCCGTAGCCATGCGATGTGCACACCTCCGAGTTCTTTAGGGACAGTCGTCCCTTGGGCCACAGTGAACCCGTATGTGTTCTGCACTGTGCTGCTGCCTGGATTTGTGACAAACCAGCCTCAGGAGGGAGGAGGCATGGTTGTACCCACAGCTCCAGGCTCGCTTGCAGGGCAGGGAGCAGCTCACCAGCACAGATAGGTCAAAGCTGGCCCTGTCTACTCATTTTCCTGTGGTTTGGGTTCTTTATAGGACTCCTAGCTTTAGCCTCTGTTGCTGCCCAAGTAACATGGGTTGTTACATTTGATGTGAGGATTGATCTTATGGCTATCCATGGGAGATGGGCTTGGTGGAGCACAGAGGCTCTGTCCCCTCCAGGCACACACTGGCGGGTGTCCTCGACACTGACTTGTGCCTTCGTCCCCTCTTCCAGGTACAACCCGGAGTGTGCCCTCTCCCAGGTACAGCCACTGGAGCCCTGGGGCAATACCGTTTACGGCTACGCCACGTAAGTGCACTCTGCTGTGCCCACACTGTGACACAGGACCAAATACTGGCAGAGCCATATCTCCTCACATCCCTTCATGCGTGGTGACTTTGGAGGCTTGAGAGAGCTTTGCTCATGTTTCCTCTGGCTCTCACCCTCCATCTCTAGCGTTTCTCTTTCAGACACTTCTTTTCTTCCTCCTGACATTGCTAGTGGCAGCCTGTGCATCAGTTACAGGTTATTCGTGAAAGTGGCATCAGCCTCTGTAATGTCCTTCCATGCCTGAGCCTGATTCCCAAGGCACGTGTGCCACAAGCGTGTCACCTGAAGCCTCCTGAGATGAGGATGAACATTGCTTACTGCTCCAGTGCCAGTTCCACTGGCTTTTCAACTCCTGTCACTCACCTAGGCTGGCAAAAGAGGCTGTGCTCTCCTCTCCTGTCCCTCTCTACTGCTTTTTCCTGTGCCATGCCCTTCCCACTCTCTCCTGGGCCAAAACCAAGCACTTTGTGCTGTTGCGTGAGGAGCTAACTCGGACTCAGCCGACAGTCTGGATGGAGTCGGCAAGCCCTGAGTCACCCCAGGGCTTTGTCTGTCACAGGAAGGTGAGGACAAGTCCTTACTCTTGCAGGAGCGAAGATGCAGAAGCCTATGAGTTGCAGGATGGGGAGTTCAGCTCTGGGATCTTCATGAAATATCTGAAGAAACATATTCTGCAGGAGAAGAAGGTTACACACATGCTGGAGGATGTGTTAGAAGGTAAGGGATGAGCTAGAAACCACTTGCTTCAGTAGCAGGGGTGAGAAGCGATATCAGTAGAAACCGAGTGGCTCCATGCCACCCCATCACAGCCATCACAGTCAGCCAGCCATCAGAAGCCTATGAGTTGCAGGATGGGGAGTTCAGCTCTGGGATCTTCATGAAATATCTGAAGAAACATATTCTGCAGGAGAAGAAGGTTACACACATGCTGGAGGATGTGTTAGAAGGTAAGGGATGAGCTAGAAACCACTTGCTTCAGTAGCAGGGGTGAGAAGCGATATCAGTAGAAACCGAGTGGCTCCATGCCACCCCATCACAGCCATCACAGCCAGCCAGCCATCCCCAAAAACCAAATTGCAGACCTGTGCAAGCTTTTAGTAACCTGGCAGCAGTACCAAGATGTTCATGTACGGTCTGAAAGGCAGGGCAATAAATAAGGAACCTGGAGTGACCCTTGCGCCTCCAAAATCTCTTTCCAGACATCGGCCGGGATCCCTTGGTCACTGGAAAGCAGGTGATGGAGATCAAACACACTCTGAAGGAAGCCCGGTCCCTGACAGACCCGATCTGTCCGTCGGGAGCAGCTGCCGAGCACTGGGGACGCGGCCACGGTGAGCCATGCAGGGCATGGGGAGGGCTACCAGGTGGGGGGGCAGGAGAGGGCTGGGGGTCCCCGTGCCCCTCAGGGACACCGGTCTGCAGGGAGGTGTTGGTGGGACCCTCTGAGGAGCTGACCCCACTGGGCCTTCCCTTCCAGAGCCGGTGAGCGAAATGGTGACCTTCCCCTGCGGGGTGCAGGTGGAGCTCCGCTTCCACCGGCTCTTCTCCAACGTGATGTACGTGTGCGCCAAGCTGCAGCCCTCCCCAGCCCACGTCGCTGACGCCCGTCTCCTGCTCTGCCAGCCCACCGTGAGTCCTCTGGCAGAGATGCTGGTCCCCTTCCCCTCAATTCCTGCCAGGCTTCTTTCCCCAGGGCAGAGGAGGGAGGAGGGTTGTGGTGAGCCCAGGGGGCCCCGAGGGCTGGGAAAGGCAAATAATCCTCTCTGCAAACACCTCTTTGAGTTCTCCTTCCACGTATCAGTGCCCCGCAGACTGCCTGCCTTGCTCCTAATGCATCACAAAATAGATTTGGTGCCAGTTTTGATGCCTTTAACCAGTTACTCCTCAGACCGATTTCTGGCCTGCCTGATTAAATTATTGCATTTAATCCGATTGAGATGAAGAGCCTTTCTGTTTTCTCTGTTTGGAGCAGATCTGGCTTTTTGAATGATGCCTTCTCAGCCTGCTGTGCTAATATATCTTAATGCAACAATATATCCTCCTGTACTTGTTCCCGGTTGAGCCGTACCAGCTTCCTTGCACCCTTTCTCACACCTTTTCTAAGAGACCACGTGCCCAGCGTGGTCTTTTCTGGTGGTCTCCATGCCACCTCTAAGGATCTAATTTGCTGCTCCTTTTTGCTAACCATCTTCCTCATTTTCTGTAGTCCTTTTGCTGAAGCGTAGCGTGACTGTGGTGGATTTTTCAGCCCTTGTTGCTCGTGGAAGGATGCTGCCCCTAAGTACGTTGTGGTCACTGATGCAGAGTGGTGCGTCCAGCGGGAGGTTTGGAGCCTGATCCTGCCCGTTACCAAGCCGGACCGTCGTTTCCCCTCGTGAGCTCCCTAACCACGCATGAAAATCGTGTGTGTGTGTCTGCACGTGTTTGTGTGCATCCACCCCACATCAGCGATCGTGGGGAAAGGGGGACCCAGCTGCTTGCTCCTGCATCTGGAGCTTGGTTCAAGAGGGACTGGGGAGACCAAAAAGGGACCCCAGTAGAGCCAGGGTGGTAGGATCCCCATCCCTATCCTGCTCCACAGCGGTGCTAGCTCATGCTGACCTCCAGTGGTGTCTGCTGATGTGGCAGCACATCCTCCCACCGGATTGCAATTCATCTGCCCCACGTTAGACATCCACAGCGAGGCCACCCACTCTCGCCTGTGGGACCACAGAGAGATCATAGAATCACAGAATCATAGAATCATTAAGGTTGGAAAAGACCTCTAAGGTCATCGAGTCCAACCGTCGACCCAACACCACCATGCCCACTAAACCATGTCCCTAAGCGCCTCATCTACACGTCTTTTAAATACCTCCAGGGATGGAGGTATTTAGTATCCAGGGATACTTCCCTGGGCAGCCTGTTCCAATGTTTGACCACTCTTTCAGTAAAGAAGTTTTTCCTCATGTCCAATCTAAACCTCCCCTGGCGCAACTTGAGGCCATTTCCCCTCATCCTATCCCTTGTTACTTGGGAGAAGAGCCCGACCCCCACCTCGCTACAACCTCCTTTCAGGGAGTTGTAGAGAGCGATGAGGTCTCCCCTCAGCCTCCTTTTCTCCAGGCTAAACAACCCCAGTTCCCTCAGCCGCTCCTCATAAGACTTGTTCTCCAGACCCCTCACCAGCCTCGTTGCCCTTCTCTGGCCACGCTCCAGCACCTCAACGTCCTTCTTGTAGTGAGGGGCCCAAAACTGAACACAGTATTCGAGGTGCGGCCTCACCAGGGCCGAGTACAGGGACACGATCACTTCCCTGCTCCTGCTGGCCACACTATTTCTGATACAGGCCAGGATGCCATTGGCCTTCTTGGCCGCCTGGGCACACTGCCGGCTCATGTTTAGCCGACTCAACCAGCACCCCCAGGTCCTTCTCCGACAGATGCACGGGTGTCTGCAGGAGGGCACTTGGCTCCTTTCAGGATCTGGAAATATGGGCCTACTGCTAAATGGGACAGGGTCCCTGGTGACACAGGGCGTGGAAAAGGCCGAGATACTTGATGCCTTCTTCACCTCGGTCTTTACTGGTCAGACCAGCCTTCAGGACTCCCAGACCCCTGAGTCCAGGGGAAAGGTCTAGAGCAAGGAAGACTTACACCCGGTGGAGGAAGACCCGGTCAGGGAGCACTTAAACAAACTGGACATTCACAAATCCATGGGACCTGGCGAGGTGCACCCATGAGTGCTGAGGGAGCTGGTGATGAGACTGCAAGGCCACTCTCCATCAGCTCGTGGTGTTCTTCCTGAGGCCTGGAAGAAAGCCAGTGTCATTCCTGCCTTCCAGAAAGGCAAGAGCGAAGATCTGGGGAGCTACAGGCTGGTCAACCTCACCTTGATCCCTGGGAAGGTGATGGAGCCAATAATCCCTGAAGCCATTTCCAAACACAGCAAGAACAAGAAGATGACTGGGAGCAGTCAGCATAGATTACAAAAGGGAAGCCATGCCTGATAACCTGATAGCCTTCTGCGTCGAAATTACTAACTCGGTGGATGAGGGGAGAGCAGTGGATATTGTTTATCTTGATTTAGCAAGGCTTTTGACACTCCTGTAACATCCTCATAGACAAGCTGCTGAGATAACAGACTAGATAAGTAGATGGTGAAGTGGATTGAAAACTGGCTGAATTGCCGGGCTCAAAAGGTTGTGATCAATGGCATGAAGTCCAGCTGGAGGCCACTAATGGGGAGCCCCAGGCATCAGTACTGGGACCAATACTGTTTTACATCTTCGTTAATGATCTGGATAATGGGGAGAGTGCACCCTCAGCAAGTTTGCTGCTGACACAAAACTGGGAGGGGTGGCTGATGCACCAGAGGGTTGTGCTGACATCCAGAGGGACCTGGACAGGCTGGAGAAATGGGCCAACAGGACCTTATGAAGTTCAACAAGGGGAAGGTGCAAAGTCCTGCACCTGAGAAGAAATAACCCCATGTACAAGTACACCTGGTGGTTGACAGGCTGGTAGTCAACTTGGCAGAAAAGGCCCTGGGGGTCCTGGTGGACACCAGGTTGACCATGAGCCAGCAATGTGTCCTCGCAGCAAAGATGATGAATGGTGTCATGGGCTGCATTAGGACGAGATGCAAGTTCCTGCATGTGGGCAAGAATAAGCGGTGGTGTAAGCACAGGATGGGAGACAACTGGGGTACCATTTCTGGTCAAAGTCCACAATAGCTAGTGCAACAAAAGCAGGGCAGAAGACTGTGCCAAGGTTGTAAACAAGAGCTCTGAGATTTGTGTGAGATCCTCTCTGGCTCTCCTCACTGTTGCTGAGGCTGGAGCACTGGGTCCAGCTTTGGGTCCATGCTTCATGGAAAAAAGCGTGCCAACTAAAGTGCATCCAAAGTAATAAAAGGAAGGAGCAAGAGAATTCTGGTTTAGGCAAGAAAAGCAAAAATTGGTGGATAGGAGGCCTTCAAATATATAAAAAGTTGTTTCCAACGTGGAAGGAAGTCATGGTCTGAATTGCAGTAAGGAAGATCCAGGTTGGAGATGACATTTTCATGGTAAAAAGAGTGACTGTTTGGGAGGGGTTTTGCCTAAGGGAGTTGCAGAATCACCACCCGTGTGGATCCCTTAGAGCATCTGGACATGCATCTGTCAGGCGTGACGTGTGTCACCAAATCTGTGTGTTCTGGGCCACGCGAAGCCTTTGGTCCCTTCTCCTGTAGGGTCCATGTCCTGGTGGTGAGGGTCCTAGCCTCAGGGAGAGGACACAGGCTCAACCTCACGTGTAGAACCAGGTCGGCAGCACGTGACTGGCTGACGAATCCAAAATCATTTAAGGATGCAGTCATTTAATCAGTTAATCTCTCGGACTGCTGGGAGATCCTTCCTGCGTGGATGCTGAAGGGACTTTGTGCATTTCCCCACAGTGCTGAGCATTTGCTCCTTTCCTTTGGGATGCTCCCGGGTCTGTGCCAGAGAGAAATGGCACGTCTATCTTGGATGTTCAGCACTTGGGACTGGCTTCATTCCACTTGGGGAGGCTGTGTGGTTCACCCCATCCAAACTTCCTGACGCTGCTTGGCTTTTCATGAGCTGTGGTTTAACTTGTGGTGGAATATTGTTATATTTGTGCTAGTCACGTCTGTAGTACACTGGGTATTTCTTAGGCTGAAAAAAAGGGCGGCCAAACTTCAAGGGGTTCAAAATTGCATAGCAATAAACAGACATTTTTGAGAAGAGTCCAGTGCATTAGCACAGATCTGAGCATCCCTGCCCTGCTAGCATAAACCCAACTGCGATGTTAATCGCTGAAGATTCACAGCGTCTGCAAAGGCTGCTAACACAATTGCAAAAGCAGGCACTTAGAGGTCATCTGATCCAGAGCACATCCGTGCCTGCAAGGAGACAAAAGGGAATGTGGCCCAACCCCAGCTCCAGGCTGCTGAATCCCCGGAGGAGCCACTCTTGGAGAGGTCGCAGGTGTGGGGATGCACCAGGGGAAGGCAGAACTGCAGAAGTCAAAAGGCACATGCGGAAACAGCAATGAGGCGGCTACAGAGAAGGTTGGAGGAGAGCGCTACGGCATCATCAGATATGGGGAAGAGAGGGGACTAGCAGTGGGGTGACTACGAGGAGGACTTCTGGCCATGGACTGTTTTCCTCCTAGTGATTAGGATGTCATGGGTATTACAAGTCTAGCAGGGTTCAGAAATAACTTTGACACCTTCATAAGAGTCCATAAAGGCTATTGAAAGCACAGACATCACCTTTGACTCGGAAGGTCGCTGATTTTCCCATCGCAGGAGGCTGGCAGGGTAGGCTCTCCCTGGGCAGGGCTGGCAGCATGTGCTGAAGGATGGAGCTGGCTGGACACAGTAGGGCCACTCCGCTCCTTTTTGCAGTCCTCCTGCTGAAGCCCCGTGTTAGTGGTATCCAGGCTGATCTGCTTTGTGTCTCTCTCTTCGGTCTCCAGGTTTGGTTCAACCTGGCTGCTGGGCTCAGCGTAGCAGTGACGGCATCAGGGTAGCTGGGAACAGGTACCCGATGCAATGAGCCAGGGAAGGAGAAAGCAGGAGAAGGCAGTGTTCGTTTGCAGAAGGTGCTCTGCGTCGCAGCCTGTCCTCTGTTTCAGGCACAGTTCAGGCTGGTGGAAGGAACCAGGACGAGGCTCCCTGAGCAGGAGAGTTGCTCCATTCCCCTGTGAGCTGTGTCCTCCCCTTGTTGGCACACCCATCTCCCTTTCTGCCAGCTCCATTCACTGCCCTGATATTCCCTAAGCTCCCTCCAGTTTATCTTTCCAGTAATGAGTTGCCAAGTGTGGAGATGGGACTTGGCTTTGCTTTGTACAGAGATAAATGGTATTTCTTCAGCCTGCCTCCAGTGGACCTACTGGATAGGCAATGGTGTTTACTCTTGTTCTGCCAGCCTTGCAAGCAGGGGTGATCCTGATGCCTGCAGATCCCAGCCAGCATTTGGGATCCAACATTTTAGCTTCTACCCCCAATATTCTCCTGGCCAGAAACAAATTGCTTTGGCCGCTCGTAGGCAGTTCGGGGAAAGTCTGTAAAGGCTAGCAAGAGTTCCCAGGGCTTCCCTAACCGCTGCCTCCCTGCAATGTCCTAACAGCCTCCTTCATCACCCAGTGCAACTTCTCCTGCCAACAGCAAGAAAGTTTTGCAAGGGTCAGACCCTCCTTACATGCCACTGGCTTTATGTGTGGCTGCAGTGAGCCCCCCCGGGCTGCTCAGCTCCCATGGCCAAAGCCAGGCCAGCACATTCTAGCGTTGGCCAAGGCAGGTCAGCGGGATCGGGCCGTGGTAGCTGCCGGAGCCAGCTGGCAGAGGAAAGCATCTTTGCATGGAAGGGGCTGGTGGACTGTGGGCTGTCACCCATCCTGGAGGGCTCAAATCCAAAGCAAGATGCTATTTCGTAAGGCACCTATTCCCTTGTCTGCTCTTGTGCTATTTGCAGCTCCAAGATAAGACCGTTACTGAAGACGATCTCATAGAGACGGAGCCGTTTTGGATAAGTTTGAGTAATTGAGCAAGAATTGACAGTTCTGTAGATGGTGGGGGGCACAACTCAGAGCTTCCTCCAGCTATGCCCTTGGAAAACTTGCTCCCTCCTTGACACAGTGCTTATGCTACAGGTGGTTGTGATACCAGCTGTTGCTGCTATCTACACTGCTGGAAATCCCATTATATCACAGTTTTCCCAGTAGACGCCCTCAGGGGATGTTTAGCTAGGTCTTCCCATTGATATGCACAAGGCGGGTGTGTAAAATCTCTATATTTCTGTTGCTGGCATTCTGTAGTACTTCCATTAGGGTATGCAGCATTTCCACCAGCCAAAGTGTCAAGGGCACAGGCCAGCCCCGGGCATTGCTGTGTGCAGAGAAGCAGCATGTTTGATGGGCAGTTGTGGCTCCATGCCCAGGCTGATGCTGAAATTTCCTTGTGTTTCCTCTTGTTTTCCTGACCCAGGAGATGCACGATGTGGCCATCCTGAAAGAGAGCCGCCTGGACCAAGTGGAGTCTTTGCTCGCCTCTGTGTACAAGCGGGAGGAGCTGGACTGTGTCCTCCAGCTCTGTGGACTACAGAAAATTCAGGTAGAGAGCTGCCAGGTGCAAATCTCCGCGGTTCTCCTGCAGCCTCATGTAACTGGTACTCCCCATTCCCACTGGCTTGAGCTGGATGTGCCCTTCTGACTGTGTGTCTTGTGACTCCATGCGCATGATGCCTGGGACGCCTGTGTCAGTGTAACATTCAGATCAATGTTAGAGGAGCTTGTTGACCTTCAAGGCACAAAAGCAATCCTCTTTCTCTTGGTTTGCTCTGTCCTTCCACACTGCTGGGCCAGGGAGGCCTGTATCAGCCTAGGGGAGATCAGAGTAGCCCAAATATTCCAGATGAAGGATGTCTCACTAGGCTGTGAGCTTGCCTGAGAGGTGGGCTCACGGGCTGGCCAGGACCTCGAGCAGCGGGAGGGTTTATCCCCTGCCATCAGGGTGACACTGCCAAGCCTGATCCAAGCTATGCCTCTTTGGCACACTTTAGAAGACTCTCGAACTATTTAAAGACCGTGAGAGAGGCAGAATTGCTAGTCCCCTGGCTTGTCTCTTCCAGCGGATTATCTCTCCCCAAATAGCAGTGTACACCTTGTTTCTCATTTGACTTTTTTTTTCCCCCTCTAACACCCAGCTAGTGGATCTTGCCAGCTGCTATCTGCTCTGCTCCACGCAGGCTCACACCGAACGTTGTTCTCGAGCTGCTGCCTGGATCTGCCTACAACGAGCTCCGTTTGCTGAGTGCGTGACATGCCTCAGCATATGGCAGCTCTTTCAGTCCTTGATTGTTCCTGGAGCTCTTTTCTGAACCCTTCCCAAGCATTCAGCATTGCTTTTAAGTGCAGACATGAGACCTGGACCCTGCATTGCCTGCCAGAATCTTCTTGCTCCGTTATACATCTCCCTACCTTGTACAGCCAGGCGTCTCAGGCACAGCCCCGTGCTAGGGGTTCACGTTCAGGGATTTAGCTGCCATGAATATGGTTCTCTTCTGATCTCTTCACCATCTTTTATAAAAATCTAAAATAGTGCTAGACTGCGAATGGATCCCTGTGGAGCGCTGCTGTTTAAAACTATTGGCTTTTACTGTGTGATGTGTGTTTTATTTAAGGGGTTCATATCCCTCCCCTTGGATGCTTTCCTCTCGCATGTGCAGCAGTCCTGTGCCGTGGCCAGGACGGATGTCGTGCCATTCCTCGCATGGGTGCAGCTTGCCTGGGTGCTGTCCCTCTCCCCTCCTGCTCCCCTGTGCCAGCATCCTGGGGGTGATGCTCTCGGTGACGGTGCCCTGACCAGGCTGATGAGGTCTCAAGTGAGGCAGCCTGATTTCAGGAGAAGTCCTGAAATCCAGAAACTATGGCTCAGGCCCACAAACGTCATGAGCGTATGTAACAGCTCGTTTTCTCTGGCAGTAGCATTGCTCCATCACGCCACAGCATGGGGCTGTGAGCCTGCAAAACAGCCAGCCAAGTCTGTCATTTTTGTTGACGGTGGTAACAGTGAAAAAGCTCTGCTTCAAGTCGTAGTCTCCGATTCACTTTGCGTCCTTTGCTCTTCCCTTCCAGACAGACGTGGTCCTGCAGTTGGATTTGCATTACACCCAGCTGAGCACAAAGCAGAGGGCTTGTGAAAGCCTGCAAACAACCCTCCAGAAATCTCTGCTAGGGCAGTTTTTCAGCCAGAGGAATTACTCCCAGCCAAACTACCAGAGAACTCCTGCCTGCGCAGGCAGCGTGTGCCTCCGGGATGCGTCGGCGCTGAGCATGGACCCGAAGGGGCAAGCATCTCTGAGGACAGGCTCTGGCTACAGCTTGCCCAGCAGCAACCCCTCCAACTCCAGCAGCGAGCCGGAGGAGAACGACGAGAGCGACCTGAGCGAGCTCTGCTCAGCACTGCTCCGGGCTGGCCCAGGGCAGGACTACCCCTGACCCCCACAAGCTGGTGTGCCCAGCCTTGGGAACTGCTATTTTTAATAGAGGCAACAGTTATTCAAGCGCTAAATACATCAGAATCTGTCAGCTGCTTTCCAGCCTTGGCGATCGCCCTGTCCAAGTGAGGCCAAGGCTGCTTTTTTGGAAAGGCTTCTCCCATCTGCGCCCTGTGGCGTGTGGGGCCTGAAGCCTGCTGGAAATAACCCCTGTCCCGTGGGAGCAGTCGGGATCAGCAAGGAGTCATTGTCGTGTCTAGCGGAGGACAGGGCCACCCAACAAGTCAAAACATTTCCAGGCAAAACCCAACGTCGCTTAAAGTCAAGGGCAACGGCTGATGTTTTCTGCAAATTAGGCTTTGCCTGAAAGCAAATGTTACAGCATTAAAGGTGTTAAGAAAGCCATAAACACTACAGACCCGCGCTACAGCAGCAGCACGGCCTCAAAACCCAACTACAACTGCTGACTCTCATCGCACTTGTGCAAGGGACACAAGGCTTGAACAAGGGACCCAGATAAAACTGTATAAGCTCTCCCCTGGGGTCGCAATGTGGTTTTCTTTCCTTGTGAGTCCTGCCTGTGTCAAAGCAGGTTTTAAGTTATGCATTTATGTATTTCTAAAGAATGTATTTATACTTGGGGCAAGACAACTGCTTGCCAGGAAAAGGAAGGTCAGATGTTCCGTCAAGTGTGTGTTTACAATGAAGGCTGGTTTTCCATCAGTAGTAGCCACCAGGCAGGTATGCTTCCACGTGCCCCTTCCAGCACAGTACACAGGGGCATTAAAGTGTGTTAAGTCCTGTGCAGTCCTGAGTTCCTCTCAGATCCAGAATTTCCTACATGTGGGGATGGAAAAGACCAAGATGGAGGAGGAAGAACCTCAACAAAGTCATTATTAGTGCAAATTTTATTTCTAAGTGCCTGTCTCTGTGCATTCACTGTGGGCAACCTCAAGCACTACTTTTCGTGGAGAACCATCTGTCCGGAGCGAGCCACAGGTGAGCAGGGCCCAAAGGACAGCCCGAGTGGGCACCGTCCCCTCCCTGCCTGCTTCTCTAAAGTTTGTTTGACAAAGGTTTCAGCATAGCTCCAGGTGATTGCTCAGCAAGGGCCTGAGAGGGTGATCTAATAGTTCAACAGGGGCCAATGACCCCGGTGAGGTGTGGGATCTCCATCCTTGGAGACAGTTCACTCCGGACTGGAGAAGGTGCTGATGAGCTGATCCAAGCTGTCAGGGGGCTGGACCAGAGACAACCGGAGGTCCCTTCTGGCTGTTGAGGTCCTGTGAAAGAAAGAACTTGGAGATGAAAGACTTCTTGAGAGGTCAAGGATAGTGGGGCAGGGAGAGTGCCCAAGCTCTGTCTTCTGTCGTGGTCTAAAAGAGGAATAGAAGAGAGCATTTTCTAAGTTTCGGTTCTCCTTCAGCAGTGAAGATACTTGCATCTCTGTCTACGGTGTCTATTGCAGCATGGAAGAATATGAAATGCTCCTTCCACATAAACCATCCTACAAGTGCTGGAAACCTGTCCAAAGAGAACAGAGGAGGCTTTTATTCTCCTCACAGTGAGTAGAGCCAAGGGAAAGAAGAGAGGCCCCATCTGGCTGAAGTCTAGAAAGTCTCCTAGGAAAAACTGTGAAGCTCAAAAAAAAAAAATTTACAGGGTGTAGTTTAAATAAGATGGACTGATAGAGAAGCTAAACCAGAAAATAGTAAACTAGTTGAAGGGAGAACCAAAGATCAACCCAACACCAGCCGAAACTTAAGACAGGTCAGTGGGAATAGCTATGCAGGCATTTGGGAGGAGCTGGGAGTCTCGTTGCCTCTATGAGGATTGTACGCACCCTCCTATACTGTTGGGGCAAAATATGTTTCTGGCTCACATAATCATGGCCAATGTCATCTCATGTGAACGTTAATCTCATTCCAAGCAAGGCTGTTTATTTTTTCTGAATAAAACACTATTGGTGTTTTTGAATGCATAAAGCTTCATGTGGCTCTGAGTTAACTGTCGTTATTTTTCCCTCTAATTGCCAGGGTGTGACTTAATATTGACCTACTGTTTTTTACGCTTTGAACTCTAGCTTCTAGGCTGTTATGTGTGAGGACTGTTTCTTTTTTTAGGTAACGGCATATTGAAGTCTGGATTTAGAAGGTGGATCAAATGACACTAGATAGGATGAAATAACGTCAGGTGAAATGTGTCGATAAAATGTCGGCATTCATTGTGAATTATCCATGGGTATTGTAAAGTGTAGCCCTCAGGTGGCTGGGTCAGGCTTAGGAGGCCTGCTGTCCCGGTGCCAACCACAGGACTCGTCCCCGTCACCAGCTCTCCTGCTCCTTCCAGGCGACCCTGCAGCCAAGGCCAGGGCTACCACCGCATTTCCGTGCACCTCAGTTGGCAGTGTGTTATAACTGAGAACACAAGCACTTGCAAAGCGGAATTGCAAAGGTGGAGTTTGGTTGCGTCCTGGGCCTCTGGCCATGACAGCCTGCTGCCCTGCCACCAACTGGGTTCATTGTAAGAGGGGGTCTGCCTTCATCCCCCTACCTTACACAAGAGCCAAACTCCCCCATGGTGGTGTAACTGTTTAGTGCCAGTAAATTTTCCCTTGAATCTGTGTTTCCATCTCCCAGCATGGAGGACTGTGCTTCTCTTGACCACATCCTTCCCAATCAGCAGCCGTAATCCTTGGGTCCATAGGCCCAAGAACCTGTGGCCAGCCTGAAGGGTAGGAAGGAAGGAGCACCCATCCCTGTGCAATGGACCCGCATTTCATAATCTGCTCACGGCACGTCCGTGGCTGACAACAGCCTCTGCCCACTCGACACTTAATTTCTCTCATCATTGCTGCTCCTTCCGTCCGTTGCCTCCTGGACAACGCTGCTTTTCCCCCACCTCTGTGTGACTTGACCTCACTTCTTGCTGCTGCATCTCTCTGGCTTGCCCTCTGCCACGGCACTGACCCTGCAGCAAGCAGCCAGGAAGCTTACCGCTTCCCTTTCTCACCCGACAATGTGTAGCCCACCCATCTTGCTATGTCAGTTCAGGTTATCCCTCCATCCCCATCGATTTTGAGTAGATTTCCATGCCTTTTCATACATTTTCTGAAGTAGCAGGTGATATCTCCAAACTTAAAACCCTGGAAACGTGATGCTATCCCATTGCATTTCTTTGCAGGGTCATAGCCTGGACAGATGCTGTGGCTGGGCAGTACAGGTGGGCTCCCCTGTGTCTAGTCTTCATACTACCTTCAGTAAGAAAGCCAGTCCATTACTTACTTTGATTCTCCCAGAAGGACTGCAAGACCCATTTAAGGCTAGGACTCCTTCATTAGATGCACAACTGCAGGCAGTTTGACCAAGAAATCAGCTCCAATTTACATTCCTTCTCTGCCTCCATACCTTCACTTATACATTCATAACGACAGCCGTGGCCCTCTGCTTCCCACTGTTTCTGGGCCAGTCTGTGCCCAGAGGCTACAAAGAGCCGCTCAGCATTTAGAAGCATTTCTGTAGGTAATGCAGCTGTTTTCCCTTCGCCCAAGTCTGCTATGTTTTCTTTGAGAAGCACAAAGTGAACCCAAGCTTAAAACATTCATTAATCTCTGATGAAAATAGCAACACCTAAATGTTCGATAATTTTATTTTTAGCTAGATGCCCTTTTCTTCCTCTCTGCCAATGCAGATATGTTGAAGGGAAGGGCCTTGGTCAACAGCCTAACGTAGTCGTCTTCTGCTACAGACAGAGTTCGTTTGGGATGCAGTTCTCAGCTCATTTGCTGATGTTTGGCAATTCCTGACAAAATAAGGCAAGCGCGCCCAAAAAGAGTGAGAAAACAAGGCAGTGAAAATCAGGGAAATGCCATTTCTGTCTGGTTTATTTAGTTACTGGAAAATCACTGGCCCAGCACGCAGTCGAGAAGTGTGTTATATGTGCGCTGGCATATATATCCGAACCTGGTACACTTCTGTCGGCAGCAGATTCCTTAATGTTTGTTCTTAGTTGGCTTTTTTGTGACCAAAGCAAGGAAAGGGTAGATTTGTCCTGGATCAGCCACTCTCCAGCCTTAACCAAAGAGAGAGATAAGTGTAAGGCAGGTCTTTCTGTACCTGAAGAATTGTTCACGCAAGTAAACCAGCGAGTTAGGGATAAGAAGGCAGCAGAAGCAATGGGTTCATGTCTCAGGCCAGGCAGGGACACAGCTATGGAGGCAGGTGACACCAGAGCATGTCCTCGTGCCAAGAGGATCTTCTGGCACCTTTGGGTAGCTGCGTATCACTGTGAGTGTTTCAGACACCATGTGCTGTTCCCATGTATCCAAGAAGCAGCACGGAGGCAGGGCAGAACATGGGACGTTTCTTGTTTCATACAGACCCTCACTGGGCACTGAGCCATCCCTGCTGGCTCTGGGCAAGAGCTGTCTCCTATCGGACTCCACAAAGGTGCTGGTACAGAAGAGAAGCCTGGGTCAAACTGATGGGTACCTATGAACATTTCCATCCTCTGTAGTGCATAGGCATGTTTTCTTCCTTACCTATCTAGAGTGTGCAATAGAGGGACAGAAATGCCTCCACCAACTCTGGGGTCATCTCTCGCCATAGTCATATTGGTGAAGACAGCAACAACAAACTTTAATCCCAGCCGTATTAGCCAGCCATTGAGTTCTGCAGCTTATCTGGTAAAAAACGGTGATATTCAGGTGGTTGGTGACATGCTTATAGCTGGATTAGCCCAGCTGACTGAGGTGATTTGCAAGCTGTCCCGTAACCCGGGTAGGTTAAGAAAAACGGGTGGCACGTACGCTGTCAGCATAAAGTGAAGGTAATAAGCATACCTTATAGAGCGGTAAGCGTTGTGCAGATAAGACCACTGGATGCTGTGTGGTTTTAGTGAAGTGGCCTCAACAGGGCAGAAAATGCCTCCTCCATGCAAAGCAGCAGCTCGTCATTTCCTTTCTCAGGGTTACACTGCCTACCGTGCAGGTCTGGTTGCTGTTGGGGCTGAAGGAGCACCCCAGAGGTGTCTCCTCTCCTTGAGTAAACTTAAGAAAAGCCCTCGATGGGGTCACGCAATGTCTGCAGTGCAGCAGCACACCTGGGGCAATGGCTAAAGCGTAACATCGTTGAAAGAGTTGTTTCTGGGGGAAAAAAGTCAATATGGAGGAATGTTGAGCTGTTTCACTTAGCAGCTCACTTCCCTCTTTCCAGCTTTTCTGAACAAATCCTTCTCCCTCACACAAGACTCAATTTGAATTTACTCTTTAGAAACTGGTAGGTTCTCTTTATTTTCCACTTGATAGAGATTTTCCATAATAACTACTACAGAACCTGCCAGATCATTTCCTACTTCGCACTGCAGGGCAGAGCTAGTGGTGCTGTCTACTAGATACGCTTGCTTGACACCTCCCACTGTAGATGCTGTTTGCTGTTGCTTATAGCTGTCGAACTGAGGAGCTGAAATTTTCTATGCTGTGGGCCAATCTCGTGCCGTTTTCTGGCCTTTCCGACCATAGGAGCATTTGAAACTGCAGCCTTGAGCGTTTTCTTTCTTTTATCCCAGGACAGCAGGGTCTGAAGAGCCTCCTGATATGCAGTTAACCTAATTGGTCTGGGTCTGGATGGCCCCTTACGGAAAGGATGTGTGCAGTACAGTAGAACGTACAGAAGGACATACAGGGAAACTGCAAGTCTCAAGAACGCTGTTTTGGTCCTCTTTCCCCAATTTTTGGAAGTAGCTTCTCATATAGGCAGGAAAGATCCCGAAGGCATTAGCTGGCCATTCCTTCCCAGGGAAGGAAGGAGCTTCCCAAAGTGCAAGTTACCATGTTCTTTACCAGTTATGGCACCTTTCTTGTAGACCAGGATTGAATAGGGTGATTTCTTGAACTGATCTAATAGAGGAATTGCTTTTTTTCTAAAATGCACTCATTAGGTCATTAGCTGAGGATTGCTTCTGAAATACCAGGTAGTGGCAGTCTACTTCCTATAGGCGTAACAGGACCATACACAAGACAGCAATTGAAGATACCAGACTCAGGACTAGTAAGGAGGTCTTGAATCATTAAATCCAGGTGGTGCTATCAAAGGCGGTGTGTCACAGATGGCCTTTATCCATCATGCTTTGCACTTGGAGACACCCACGGCTGTGCTCTCCTCTCTCCTAACGTTGGCAATCGTCCTGCTTTGAACAGGAGGTTGGACTAGGTCCCTTCCAACCAACGCTTCTGTGATTCTGCTACCAGAATACATGCCCAAAAGAGTATACGTGTTCTGAGTGATTCTGAACAGCGAGCAAACTGGGAGATGCAAGACTGTGTTTTCAGTGAAATATCCCTGCTCCCTGTCCAAAAAGCAAATGAGGACATTGGTTCAGTTCGGCTGGTTCCAAAACTTTTAAAAACAAAAACTTATGGGAGGTCTAGAAAATAAGGGAAAGGTGGTAAAACAGTTCATTTGAAAATGTAAGATGGTTCAGATTCAGTTCTTCCAGGCTTCCCCAACAAGCGGAACGTTCAGTAATGAAACCAGGAGGATAGTTTTAAATAAAAGGGGTGAGTGAAGTCACCCATTGTGAAGACAACAAACCCGAGATTACTCAAATTAAAAAGAAGATAAACACTGTCGATCTGCATTCAGGCAAACTACCCCTCTGCAGAGAGCTGGGATGCCTCTTTGGAAAGCAAAGGCAGAAGCAGGTTTGGTGTCATGGTGAAGCCTGCAGACTAAGACTTCGTTAATGGTGAGAAATTATTGATAGCACAGCCTCTTCATATGGTCCCAGAGTTCCCTCCTCTATCAAAGATTATTTCAATGACTGTTTTGCCATTGTTACTAATCAGTTGAAATCAGGTGCGTGACATCATGTGGCAGTGAAGAGAAAAGCGTATCACCAAACAAATGAGACTCCTTGAAGTTCTTGAAGTTGCTTCTTATCTTCACAGTTTGGATAACCTTTTGCATAATA